GTGTACAATTTTGGAAAACACCGGGGTAGAGAATAAGTCCCTAGTGAATAGTTCAGCCATCAAAAAAGCTCTTGACGATGATTCAAGTTGTACCTCTGCCAATCAGCTTCCTCAGGAAAATACTGATGCTCAGAGTATTGGAGAGCATGGTTCAACTAGCTTTGATAGGAATGGCCTAAGTGCAGGTGCAGTTACATGTGAGTATTCTGGAGAGAAAGTAGTGCACGTCAAAGCTGAAACGCATCTGATTTCGTCAGTTTTGACTTCTGCGGGTCCAACTGGTGGTTCAAGCTGTGAGAACGTGAACACTCAAAAGTCTTGCTGTTTAGGTGAACGTAAAGACATATTGACAATATCTAATGGAAGATCCAAAACTTTGGAAGAAGGGGAATCCCAGAGGATTCGCCATCAGAGAAGAGAAGCTGGTTATGGTATTGCCTCCAGTAGTTCAGAATTTGTTTCTTATGAGTGGCCTGCCGTAGCTCCGATGTACTTTTCACATGTCAATTCGCACCTTCCAACTGCCACTGATAGATTGCATCTTGATGTTGGTCATAATTTGCATGCATTCGTACGCCAACCTTTTGTGTCCGCTGTACATCATGCTAGAAATCCTTCCATTGAAGGTACACACACACAAGTTCTTGCTCGACCCATGCCCATGAGTCTAGATTGGCCTCCCATGGTTCATAGCAATTGCGGCTTGACAACAGCATTCACTTGCAATTATGATCCTGGAATTCTGGTGGACATCCCCGAACAGAAAAATAAGCCCGAGCTAGGGAATGAACGCGAGAATAACTGGATGTTGGAGGAAGATTTTGAGATGCACACTGTTTCTGGAGTAGACTATAATCAATATTTCGGTGGTGGAGTGATGTATTGGAACCCTTCCGAGAATCTAGGAACTGGCTTTTCTCGCCCTCCGTCTCTTAGTTCTGACGATAGCTCTTGGGCTTGGCATGAAGCTGAAATGAAGAGGTCTGTTGATGACATGGTTGCGTTTTCGTCTCCTTACAGCACAAATGGACTAGCTTCTCCAACTGCAGCTTCATTTTGTTCTCCTTTTGATCCCTTAGGCCAGGGAAATCAGCCTCTAGGTTATGTTGTGCCAGGTAATGATATAGCTTCCAAAGTGCTGCAAGCTCCCTCAACAAGCAGCGAAGCTGCAGGTGAAGAGGAAGTCTCTGGAACTTTGGCTAGTTTATCTGGTGATATTGAAGGAAATTCAGGAGACGCACTTCCTTATCCGATTTTGCGCCCTATCATCATCCCAAATATGTCAAAATCTGAATACAAGCGTAGTTATGATACTAAAAGCCCAAATGTTCCACCTACGAGGCGCGAGCATCATCGTATAAAGCGCCCACCATCACCTGTAGTACTATGTGTTCCACGTGCTCCTCGTCCACCACCACCTTCTCCGGTGAGCAACTCCAGAGCACGGCGAGGTTTTCCAACTGTGAGGTCTGGAAGCTCAAGCCCAAGACACTGGGGTATGAGAGGCTGGTTTCATGA